TTAATCCACAAGAATTTATTAATTGCCTATATGCACCAAATATTTTATCTCTGAATTGAACCCTTGATCTTTTTATTTTTGTTTCAAGGTCTTTCTGGTTCAATAACATAGAGAAAGTATGGATTTCATGGGATTTTAGGACTGAAAGAGATTATACAAAGTATAATTCTGCCTCCTCCTATTAGAGAAGAGGAAATTGAGGGCCACGTTTGGGCGAAGGGACTTGGTCAGCATCACACAGCTAGTTAGTGATAGGCCTAGATTTAAAATTTAAGTCTTTTGATTCTCAGGGCCCTGCGATAATATAGAAATAAATGTCTTCAGCATTTGCATTTGGTTAATTGTAAAATCTTGCATGTGACTCTGAGTATGGTACTGGGAACAATACTTTTGAGTCAGAAAAGTGCTAGATCTGATGCATCCTGATCAAAAGACCTTGGTCAAGTCCCTTAACCTTTCTCTACCTCAGTTTCCTGTAAAATGTTTATGTTATTTGACTCATGGAATTATTGCCACAGAAGTACTTTGTAAATCAGTGATGTCAAAGTCAAAAAGAAGTAGAGGTCACTAAACTAAACATAAGGATCCTTTCAGGCCACATATTGACTTATTTTAAAATGTAGTGTTATCTATTTTTATAGTATTTTTATTTATTTTGTTAAATATTTCCTGATTAATTATAACTGGTATGGGCCATACTTAGGAATATTATGGGCCACATGTTTGACATCTCTATAATGTAAACAATAAAGAGCTACTAAAGAAATGTGACCTACTATAATGTTGTATTGCATGATATCTTCAAGTGTCTTGTCTTGAAAAGTTCTCTGCATAGGATCAAACTTTTCATATTGAAACGTAGGCTTCTTAAGGACAAAGGATATTCCCATGTCTTGGTTTGGCATACCATTGAGCCCTGATAGGTGTTCAATAAATATTAACTAAAATATTAGCAATCCATTTCTGTGTTAATTAGCCATTGCCTATTCATTCCTGTCTCGTTTTTCTTATGTTATACAGAAATTCTTCACTACTGAACCAGAAGCTTCATAAATATTTGAAAGTGTAAGATTGGAGAGTATTTACCTTATCTGTAAAAAATGAGGCTCTTTTGCTTTGCACATACAAAACTGGTTCACTAGGCAGGGGAAAGGATTATTATATTCCAAGAATATTGCTCATCATACTGATGAACATGCAGTACACATTTTCTCAAATCATCAGTGGTGTCATGTCCCATACTCTGATTATGAATAGGGGAGTGCTTCCCATAATCACAAACAGTCATAAAAATATTCAAAGGGACTTGATAATGAAGGCAGTATCCAGTATGGAGAGGAATAGAATATTCTTCAGGTTTTATTAATGTTTTAGCACCCAAAACTCTCCTAGGAGATTGTACAACTTGGTTGCCAGAATCAATTTGACTCTCAAGACTTTCTTCAAACTTGATCAAACTTTGATCACTGTGCCTTAACTTCCTGAATTATGTAGGGGATGGGAATTAATGGAACACACTTAACTCAGCTGATTGAGCTTGACTTATAATTTATAGCTCAGCCGTTTTCTGGAATACTTACACTCAACTAAATCTAAAACTTATGAATGCTCAAATTGTCATGGGGAAAGCAGACTGTTGGACAGCCAATTGCACTATGGTATTGTTGTTGCTGTTCATCTTTCATTCTTGAAGAGGACCAACTTGTTTTCAGATTGTTGAATGCTGATGAATTTCAAGCAGTAACTTTCACAAGGACAGTAATGTTTACTGTTAAACATTTTGAAACTTTTTGAAAAGTAAAATGACTGACCTATATCATAGTATAAAATGTAAATAATGAGATCCTTTTTTTTAATCCAAGTTACATTTGAAATAAAACAGCGGTCTGATTTTGGTTTTAGTTTCCATCGTGTGTGCACATATGTGTATATACATGTACATACACACATCACACATATATAAACATACATATATGTGCATGGTCTCTATATAGGATGACGGGAATCGTAGGTATAGGCCTTTAGAAGTCATACAGTCTAGCTGTCTCATTTTACACATGAGCAAACTCAGTTTCAGAGATATTAAATGACTTTCCTAAGGTTACACAGCTAATAGGTGGCAGTAGGAATTTGGACTCAGGGACTCAGTCTGTACCACACTATCAGTTTTGTTTACATGCATCCACTGGAGTCCTCCCTCTTCCTACCATTGGCCATCTATTTAACTGATAGGAGATGAGGCAGTGCTGAGTGGGTGCTAGCCATAGTGATGAGGGTCAGATTTTTCTGAGCATAGCCTGGCTCCCATGGGGAAAGTTTTTCTTTCCCAGAAGAGTGGGTGTGCTGGGGAGAGGAGGGAGCTTAGCTAGCAGAAGAGAATTCCCTGGGCCAAGTCCTTCGTTCTGATTTCAGCGCAAAATTGTGTCTTCAAAGAACTCTGTTCAGGCCAATGTTCTACTTGAGGCTCTGTACATTTTTCTAATTCATAAATGACTGCAAAATCAGAGCAGAACTTTTCTCCTGCTGGGTTATTGGCAGGGAATAAGGACTTCATGGAGGGAGGAAGTGTTGGAACATGTTCCAAAGGCCTAGTTACAAAGTCTTGGGCAGCTGTCTAGGAGACCCAGGCCCAGTGCCTGATAGTTCACAATCTCTGCAACCCTACCATGCCACTCTTTATTCAGACAAGGGGATTTCTCTTTTGCAATGTAAACATTTTTGGTGTCAACATTTTGTCAACTCCTCTCTGTATACAGTGATGACAAAAGAAATGTCCCGGGAAATGGGAAATTGCTATTTAACAATACTATGGAACTATATAGTGTAGGCATATCAGGGCTTTCTCTCATTCTTTGCTAAGCCCTTCTGATTAATATGGTGCAGCCAAGCTATTCATTTTGTTGCCTTGGAAATTTGTTTAGTGGAGAAAAAATATATTTATGCATAAGTTAAGAGAATCAAAACATACCATTTGGGCATTTTCATCTTGTCTTATCAGATGACTGCCTAAGTAAGCATTGTAGCACCTAGAGGTCCAAGTATTTAATTAGCATACAGATAGCTTCAGCAGTATTGTGGTTTGCATATTTTGCTTTAATGTGTTAACAGTTGACATGTAACTAATGAGCTATCAGATCAAAAGCCCAGGCATTCCTATTTAGATAAATGTGAAAATTCTATAATGACCAAGATCTAGTTAGCTGCTGCAATGTGCTGGTATATAAATGAGGAATGTGATATTGTTTTTGATGGAAAATTCATTTTAGGTTCAATCTAGTGGTAATGGAGTCTTTCTGAACTTCAGACCTCTCATTTGCATGGTATCACTTACTGAGAGGTAGTTGTGTCTCTGGATACCCCCAAAGAGTAGTAACATCCTAGTAACAATTCTGAATGCTTATAGAACATTTGCATACAGTTTCATAGTATATTTTATTAACTCATCCTTGCCACAACCATTGGGAATAGGTTGATAATGCCATTCCTTTTTTACAGATGAGGGCATTGTGCAAGACAGAAGTCTTAATGTAGTTTTTCCAAGGTTACAAATAAAGTTAGTAACAAATCTTAGCCTAGGCTAAGCTTTAAAAGCCTTAACAAGCTGGTAGATGTGTCAGTGGGAGAGAACAGACTCTAGACAGTTGTTGGGATAGAGAAAAGTGTCAAATGCCTTTCTTTCTTTTCTCTTTTCTGCCAGCCCTCCTTCTTTCTTTCCTATCTCCTTCCTTTCTTCTTTAATTTTCCCCTTCCTTCCCTTCCTCTGCAGTTTTATTGATGCTTTTAATATTTTGTGTCCTAGTCATTTCCTGATAGTCTTCCCCTTACTGGTCCTTTCTCACCAACCTTCCATCGTAAGAAATAAAAAGTTAAGAAAAGTGGATGGAGAAGGTGACTTTTTGCCAATGTAACATTCCCATTCTCTCATCAATCTATCTCATCTTTTGAAGAATGGGACCAAGACTGGCCCTCATGTCCAATTTGACATATAAACTAATCATGTAACCCTAGTGTATCTAGATGGTGTAATGGATAGAGTGCCAGGTCTGGAATCAGGAAAACTTGTTCCTGAGTTCAAATCTGGTCTCAGACACTAACTGGCTGTGTGAGTCTGGGCAAGTCATTTCACCCTGCTTGCCTCGGTTTCCCCATCTATAAAATGAGCCGCAGAAAAAGATGGCAAACTACTCCAGTATCTTTGCCAAGAAAACCTCAAATGAAGTCATAAGGAGTCAGACACAACTGAAATGGCTGAACAACAAAATCAAATGCCCTCTTTTCCCTCACCTTCTCCATACTTGATTTTTAATTCACTGCTGAGCCCCCTGGAACCAGGCTGCCCAGTGTCCCAGCTGTGGTCCTGTGGCTAGGTGAAGAAATAGAGAGCGTGGATTGTAAATACCCTCCAGAATATATTTTCTTTTGGTGATAAAGAGAAGAGCCTTTGCTAATATATTAACTTACATGCTGGTAAGAAAAGTTGTGGGGCATAATAAAAAACTTAGAAGGTTTAATTCACCCACAATTTCAAATGGCACAAATTTAAAAAATGGATAAAATTATTAAATGAGAAAATAAAGTAAGCCAAACAATAAGAGATCTTACTTGGAATTAAATTTGTGTCTCTTTAAATTTTTTTCCTCCACAACACTCAATAGGTTTATGTTTGACAAGCAAATTAGTTATTCACTGAAAAGAAGTGAAGTTTCACCCAGTGTCATTAAATTAAAAAAGGACCTGTCAATTGGAATGTTGTATGCCAGACTACTAAATGGAAGAATTTAGGAAATCGTGAGGCCTCACATAATACAGTTAAGCTTCAACGGGTTTAGGAAAGACTAATTGTAACTCAATGGACAGAAAACAGTCTTTTTAAAATTGGCATGATACTTCACCTGTAACGATCCAGCTGTACTGCACACATGTGGTTTGATGTTATGTAACATTTTATTTAATGTTACCCTATGTTTTGTTTGTTTTTTTTTTTCCTCCTGGGCCCCTAGCAAGTTATACTATGTGTAACTTTGAGTCTGATTTTTGTGATTGGAAACCATTATGGACAAACGAGTCACCCTGGAAAATATCAAAAGCATTGCCTTCTAGAGAATTTGCTTTTCCTCACGTGGATCATACAACGAACAGTGAATATGGTAGGACTTTTACATTTTTTTTTCTTACAGTGAATTGAGAATTTAGTGAGAATTGCTGAATTGAACATTTTTATCATGTGTATTCAGAATCGTGGTAGAAAAGTGGATTAGTCTTGGGCTTGGAGTCAAGAAGATCTGTATATAGATTGTGTCTCTCCACATTCATGTATTCAAGTATTTAACCATTGGAACTATTTAAGTTACATTTTGGTTCCTCTGACTTTCTTAATTGATCTATACAGTGACCAAAAAACATATGTAAGCATACATCCCCTATGTAATTTTCCTCAATATATAGAATTGAATTAGTGAAAAGTATAATGGTATTTTTTGTACTTCTAAAAGTTAAAGAACAGTTAATACAGATAAAGCTGCTATTAAAATTCTCCATAGTGGCCTCAAATTATGAGATTTTGCTGAGGTTGTTTTGCAGAGCTACTCCAACCATATAAAAACAAAGAAAAATTGTCTAATCTTCCCTGTGAAAGTAGAGAGCAATATTTTAGCACCATCCATGTAGGAACTACTCAAGTACTGAGATGTAATTAAGCTACTTTTTACCTTTTCTCTTTTTTGAACAAATTTAATTCTTTTTAATCTGCTCATTTTCAGTGATTCTGTAATTTTTTCCATATCCCTTTAAAATGCTCTACTTAGCACCTTAAAAGAAGCCGACCAAATGCAAAAGAAAAGAAATGATTGCTCAAACCTCCTAAGATCTTGCTCACATTTTAAAAACAATGATACCGAATTGTAAGTTTTTTGAGCTTGTGGTTTACTGACCTCCAAAAGCAGTTGTTCCTACTTAACATCATCCTGATTTATTTTTCTTTGGTAATTTCTAAGGAAGAATACTAAAGAATAGCAGTTTTGATCTTGACATTAATAGTAGCCTCTAGAGACTAAGAAGAAAAGTTTGACCTTTAATATGTTAGACTAACTTTTTAAACTCAGTTAATTATGTCATGACAGAATAAGTTCTTTATCTCTATTTTGATGCCAATAAGCTTCCTCTTGGTACTAAGATTTTGTGTTCATGATAGTGGTGTTAAGAAGGTGGAGACAGAGTCCAGGCTACTCATAGTTAGATATAGATGTCAGAAGAGCATTTTATCAAGAACCACATATTTTCTACTTGAAAGAACCATTTTCATCTACTAAAAAGTGGTACTATGATGTGATGAACTCTATAATGCTGTGTCCTCTGCAAAGAAAACCACACATCCAAAATGGCATTCAATTTTCATTTCAGTACCAGTAGCCATGGAGCAAGGTGTGAGGGACATCAAAAGTCATGATTAAAATAGCTTTTTTCTTAAGGAACTTGCAATTAAATGGAGGAATATAACATTTGTAAAGTTTAGCAAGTAAAAGATAATTGAAGAAGAGAGAGCACTGAGAGCTAGGGAGGTCAGGAAAGACTTCCTGTAGGACCTGGCACCTTCCTTAAGCCTTGAAGATTTCTATAGGTTGAGTTGAGGAAATACCGAATTCCAGGAATGTCAGACCACCTGGGACAAAGCATGGAGACTAGAAATCTTGCGAAATTCAAGATTTTAACCAAGCAGTTAATCAAGAAGCATTTATTAAGAACTTGCTATGTGCTAAGCCCTATGCTAAGTCCTGCAGATACAAAGAAAGGCAAAAAGAATTCTTGCCTTGTCAGGAGCTTACATTCTAATGGGGAGAGATGAGATGCAAATAACTAGGTACTTAATAATATATAGAGAGAGCAGATGGAAGATAAAATGAGATGGAAAAGAACAGACACAAACACTTGGGGAGGCTAGGAAAAGTCAATTGGCTGGAAAATAGAGTATATGAAAGAGGGTAACATGAAGTTAATCTGGAAAGGTAGGCTGAAACCATCTTGTGAAAGACTTTAAATTCCAAGATGCAGGGTTTTGTATTTTGTCCAATAAGAAAAATGGAGCCACTGAAAACTTGGGTAAGGGAATGACAAGTCAAATATTCTGTTCAAATTGAAATAATAGTCATTTGCAGGCCCTGCACTATGGATTAAATCTTACAGTGAATATATTGTTACTTAGGCCTCTCCTAATAATGGTAGCCTGTGTAGGATTTATTCTGAAAGTATCCTAGTAAGTCACCTATGATAAATTTTATATCACCAGACCTCCTTTTTGTTGTGTACAATAAATAATTTATAAAAATAAAGCTAAGTTCTCTCTCTTTCTCTCTCTCTGTCTCTGTCTCTCTCTCTGTCTCTGTCTCTGTCTCTCTCTCTTGACCATCGTCCAGATCTAACTAGTGAAGACCAGAGAGAAGACAAGGTTTGACTTTTTAAAGGTGCAGAAGAAGATGTCTGTACTAGATCTTACAAACTCTTTGGTCCCAGGGTTAATTGGAGATAATCTATCTTCCATTGCCTTCCCTTTCAGATTACCTCCCATTTATCTTGTATGTGCATAGTTATTTGTGTGATGTCTGTCCTGTTAGAATGGAATCTCCTTGAGGCCAGGGCCCATGTTTTTGCTTCTCTTTTATGTCCCCAGTATTTAGCACAGTGTCTGGCCCTTAGCAAGTACTTAATAAAAGTCTGATAGACTGGCATTTGCAGACTTCTCAGCATAAGTGAGTAAAAAGAAGAAATGGAGAGAATGAAGGAGTAGGGAAAGAGTAGAAAGAGAAGAGAAGGAGAAAAATGAAGGAAAGGGGAAAAACTAACCAACACCTTGGGGGAAGGGTGGTGATGGTAGAGTTCCACCACCAATTCAATTCAATTTAATGTTTACTAAGGCCATCTCTGTCTCTGTCTCTGTCTCTGTCTCTCTTTCTCTCTGTCTCTCTCTCTCTCTCACACACACACACACACACAAGCACACACACACACAAGCACACACACACACACACACAAGCACACACACACACACACAAGCACACACACACACACACATAAGAAACAGTGCTAAGTGGCCCAGGATATACAAAGAATAGAGAATGAACCTGTGATCTCTTTGGTATATGGAATCCCTAGATTAGGAAACTCTCTACCTTGACTTTCCATGATTTCCTACTCAAGGATAAAAATGAAATAGCCCTTGTCCTCAAGGAACCTGAATCCTACTGAATGATGTAGCATGTGTGCATATGAGTAGCTGTCAAATTAATGCAAAGTAATAATTTCAAGAAGTAGTGCCAACAATTAGGGACATTATAAAAAACCTAATATAGATAGGAGATGACATCTCTCTTTTGCTTTGAATGACAGGTAGAAATTTTAAGATGTCAAATTGAAGAGGTGCCAAGGATATGCTTTGCCTTCCTTTGGGATTCCTCTTTGTTGATTCAGGTTCTCATAAAGGTTTAATGTCCAATTTTTGCTGTAGTTTTAAATTGCTCAAGTAGGGGATTTTTGGGAAATGTCATCAAACCTACTATTTTTAGATGTCCAAGTTTAACATTTCGAGTTAGAAAGAGTTAGAAAGGGCCAGTCTGGATCCTCTACATAACTACAGATAATTACATAACTATTAAAAACATAAAATAAAAAAAACAACTATGTTAGATTTAAAACCAAAGAATGGATGATGGTGACTAAGAATAGTTGGGTATGTGCCTATGGAGTATACATAATTACATATATTATTCAGTTTTTAATCATGTATATAGTATCATAGGAACTATTGAGGCCATCAGGCTTAACCTTATCATTTTGCATATGGTGAAACTAAGGCAGAGCGAGATTAAGTGATTTGTCCAAAATCATTGCAATTGTTTAAGGTAGTGTCTGAACTCAGTTCTCTCTGACTGCAAGCCTAGTGTGTTTACCACTAGACTGCCTAGTGTATGTTTTAGAATATAAGCTTCTTGAGGGCACAGGCAGTTTTTGCTTTTTCTTTGTATCACTAACAATTAGCACAGTTGGTTGGCATCTAGTCAGAGCTTAATAAGTACTTATCAATTGATTATTGCCATTTTATCTATTTGAGATTCAAAATATGAGATTGATTTGTCTAAATTCATTCTCCTTTATTTCCAGATATTGACCTTGAAATTCTTCTCTTCCTCCCACCCCACTAACTTTCTTCCTTGTTCCCTAGTTAAATAACTTCTCTTGGTTTTGAGATTTTAAAAACTACTCTAAGTTTTTACCTATTATTCTCTAGCATAGCTATGGGTATTACTGGTTGGTTCAGTCTGTGGCACTGAGTATCAAATATAACTTGACATTCAGCTCTGAATTCCCTTTCCTTCTGTGTAATTGCATTGACACACATCTATGAAAGTGGCATTCAGAACCTGCTCTTGTTCAGTCACAATGGGCAACTTGCCAACTTGCACATCAGTGTGTGTTTATCAGAGGGCAGGTTCAAGCCTTTGAAGTTGTTTTGCAGGGGAAGCTTCCTTGTAAGTTTTCACTATTCAGTGATGCTAACCCTGACAGAAGCCAAAGTATGTTAAGGTTGGAGATGATGTAAGATCTTATCCTCTTCTACCTTTGCCTTTAGCGCATCTGCTCTAGTCAGAATCTCAAGGCAGTTATTTTGCCAAAGTTCAGATTAGATCTTTAATTAAGCTTTCATCCCCACTAGCACAGACAACAATGTCAAGCTGGCAGGCCCCGGGAGAAAGGGAGCTTATTTCATTGGTTCATACCATTCACCACTTTGTGAAGATGTTTAAAAAATAGAGCTCTCATGGGAATTTCATAAGGGCAAGTTGAATACATAACAGTGAGCTTAGACATTTAATTTAATTTTGATTTCAGAGTCTATTTACATCACCAATTGTCAGTGGAAAGCATTCTTTAGGGTTTTCGGATAAAAACTCTTTTTTAAAAAAATCAATTAGACTTGATTCATATCAAAATACTCAGTATTGTTCGTAAAATAAAATTTAAAGAAAGAATTTTTTGGTAATTTGCAAGGCTTACTGGGAAATGTGTGGAAATGTAATTTATGTCATATCTGAATAATAAAATAAATTGGATATTTGGGAGGATTTAATGTTAGAGAAAAGAATTCCTAATACTAAGTGGATAATGGTGTAGTTTTAACTGTATCTAATGCCTCTATTTATTTTTAGGATCATTCATTTATTTTGGCGCTGGCCTACACCCTGGTCTGTCTCATCTTGGTGGTCCTTTCCTTACTGGATTACATCCTGCCTCTGCTCCCTGCCAGGTACCCAACTCATCTCAATCACTGCTACCAATTCACTAGTTTTAAATTGAAACCTCTGACACATTTAGCTCATTACTTTATGTTAAATAGTGCTTTGTCCTTTTACAAAATGTTTTCATTTCATTTGATCCTCATAAGAATTCAGTGGGTTAGATAATGCAAGTGTAATAGTATTCCATTTTACACATGAAGAAACTGAGACTCTGAGGGATTGTAATTCATCCTAAAATGACCCAGATAGTGAATAGCAGAACAATGTTTTGCTATCACATCAGTGAGGAATTGGATGATTATTTTTATGCCCCACCCATCCTGCCATTCCAGGATGACATTTGTCAAAAAATGTACACCCTCTTTTTAGACACTGGAAATTGGTGTTGGTAATACTAAAATTACGGTGGCCTTTTTCCTTTAACTATTTTGCCCTTTTTTTGTTCATCCAATAATTTAAACTATGTATATAATGCCAAAACAATAAAATAGTAGAGTTAGTTCAGTTGAACAACCAGTAATTTCAGTGTGTGTGTATGTGGAGGGGAGGTCAAAACAATTATTAAGACAAAATCTTGATAGACCAATGTGAATTGCCTAAATCTTTAACTTTTCCATCAATCAATAAGCATTTATTAAGCTCTACTATATGCCTAACAAGGTGCTATGTGCTTGGATACAAAGATAAAAGTGAAAATTCATGCCCTTAAGGTTACGCTCTATAAGGGGAAACAACATATATACATATAGTAATAATAATAATAATAGTCATATAATAGAAGTTTATAATATGTTATACACATATTATTTTATTCTCATCAACCCTGAGAGGTAGGTTTCCCATTTTACATATGAGGAAACTGAAGTAGAAAGCAATTAAATGACTTGTCTGCTGTCACAGAGCTAGTCAGTGTCTGAAGCAGGATTTGAACTCAGGTCTTCCTGACTCCAGAGTCATTCCTCTATGCACGGGCAGCCTCATTTAGGTATATAAAGAAGACTTAAACAAAACAGATATGGAGCAACACTGGGGGCAAAGGTAGAGGGAGGAGCTAGCAACGGGGGGAGATCAAGGAAGGTCACATAGGGAGGGTGGAGGTTGAGATGAATATTGAAGGAAACCAGGGATTCCAGGAGGCAGAGACTCATTCAAAGTGGCCAAATTAATAATCACCTCTAATCAGACACACTTTCTCATCTTGTTCCCAGGTTCCACAAACTCCTGAGCTCTCTAGCTTAGGGCCAGCCCCCAGTGTTTTGGGGACATTTAATTTACTGGTCAGTAACTTTCCTCTAATTCTCCTTGTCATCACCTAACCTGGCACAAGGTGGTAAAAATCAGAAAACCATCAAGAGATCAATAGTTGTCACTTTCCACCTCATTGCCCAGACTCCAGAGGTTGAAAGAGATCAATTGGGCATCAGTAGGGGTTGCAAATCAGATTACTTTCAGAATCCAATGTGGAACAAACTAAAATGGGATTTTCCTCCATTCCCCCATGCCATTTCCCCAGGATGCCTTCCTCTTGACCTTTCTATTTCTTATTGCCAAGGTTAGGATAGATGATGCCTTACCCTCCCTTCTTTCCTTCTTCAATCTATTTAACCTCTTCTGTTTTAGTCATTGGAAAATTTACCTTTAAATAACCCTGGACCACTTAACTTATTGTTTAAAGTGCTTCATGAGCTGGATATAAGTGCTATTATTATTATTATTATTATTATTATTTTATTGTAAATAGGCAGAGACAGCTAGGTGGAAAAGTAGATAGGGTGCTGGGACTGGAGTCAGGAAGACTTGAGTTCAAATCTAGCCTCAGATGTTTACTAGCTGTGTGCCCCTGGAAACATAACTTAATTTCTGTTTCCCTCAGTTTCCCTAGCTACAAAATAGAGATGATATTAATAGTACCTGCCTCCCAGAGTCATTGTGAGGATCAAATGAGGTAATTGTAAAGTGCTTAGTGCAGTACCTGACTCATAGTAGGTACTTAATAAATGTTTCTTTTCCTCCCTCTTTCTTTCCTTCCTGTCTTCCTCCCCTCCCTCCTCCCTCCCTGTTTTCCTTCTTTCCTTCATTCCTCCCTCCCTCCCTTTTTCTTTCCTTCCCTTCCTTCCTACATTCCTCTCTTCTTTCATAAATAAGCATTGGAAGTCTAAGCATCTTAAGAGGCATCATAGATATCAGCGATCCAGAGTACCACTTGAATGGGCTTATTCCCTCTCAAACTTGTTAGCAAAACATGAGATCAGTAGAAATGCCTGGGAGCTCTTTGATACAAGATCCCTGAGAAACAGTAAGAGTAAAGTTTTAAAAGAGTTTTCACCTGCTGTGTTCTGAGGGCAATTCTTTTATGATCATAGGATCAGAGATTTAGAACTAGAACGGATCTGGGAATTCATCTTGTCCAAGTCTCTCAATTTAAAGATGAGGAAACAGGCCCAAAGAAAGAAAATGAGTTGCCTGTGGTTGCAGAAGTCATAAGTGGAAGAGCTGTGATCCAGACCTATGACCTCCCATTCCAAATGCAGTACTGTTTCCATTTCCCCAGGCTGCCTCTCTCAAATCACTAAATTTCAAGTGATGCTTAACAATCGTTAATGTATTTGTCACTACATTGGACCAAAATGCAGGGCTTAACCCCTGGCATTAAAAAAAATTACTTAAGTGCTTGCTTTAGCAGCACATGTACTAAATCTGGAATGATACGGAGTTGGGAGAGGGTTAATTGGATTGTGCTGCACTGTTTACTCTCTAGAGGGAAAACAGCAAGGGTTTTATTGGCTGTCTGGGACAATATTTGAAGACTGGAATTAATTTGATAAATGATCCTTGATTTAAAATTATCTAAACATATACATATTTGTATATATACACATACACATATATATCACGTATCACCATATGCTTATATATCATCTATCAACATATGTTAATATATCGTATATCATATATCACCATATGTTAATACATGTCCTATATTAACATATGGTGATATATGATGTTTTGGAATAAAAGTTCCAGTAAAAAATGAACATACCCAAGGTCTTCTAGTAATTAGCTTTCCTGGTCAATCATCCTAATCAGAACATGCTGTTAATAGTTGTCCTTCCTGAACAATAGATACAACTCATTATAAAAAGTTGTAGAAGGGCAGAATGATAAGCAAAATAACATCCTTTGATCCAAAGGAAATCTTCATTAGGTAATTAGGTCATTTCTCCCACAGCAAGCAAAGTACAAACTAATAGAGCTAAGTCTTTCTTTGTAAGGATTTTGAGGGTACATGAGGGTACATCTTTTTGAAGGTAGTTTTCCAAGTGCATGGTTTTAGGATCATTTTGCAAGGCTTGCCCAAGCTTGTTGTATGAACAGCCCATACCATCAATATGCACACATGTTCTGTAAATAATCAGTACTCAAGATGTAGGCCTTCATTTAAAGCTACAGCACTACTACCACCTTTGGTATCTTGTGGAAACTTGGCATTTTTCCTTGGAATACCCAGGAGGCATGAGGATTAGGCCATCTGGCAGCCTGGAGCTAATCATTTTTGGGTGGGACTTAATGCACATTTGTTAATTGTTGTCAGTGAACTAGAAAATACGAAATGAGGTGGTTAATAAGCCTATTGTCATTTGTAGAACTTGACTATTTGGGATACTATACAAATCGCGGAAGGCTTGCCCATAGGAACTTAAACAAAGCAAGGCTGAGGGTATAAAATTAATGGGCACTTGTATTACTGTGTATTGAGAACAGCTAACAATGATTGGAATTTGATTGAAATGGTGAGTGAAGGAGAAATAATATTTTTTTCTTAAAATAAAATTAATGGGTTCTTTTTAATTGTTTTTGGTACATAATGATTAATTGGCAAAGGAAGACTGAGAGACAATCTTCATAAACAGACTAAGGAATTTTATACTGTCCTATCTTGTTTGATAGGGTTTGGAACTAGAGAACTTGAGGATGCTAAGCACTGGAGAGATAAAGGAATTTGCCCAAGGACCCACAGCTAGGTAGGGCAAGAATTGGGAGAAGAACATAATTATCTGTAGTGGTCTTATCACTACACTATTCCAGGTCTTAATGATGTTGGTAAGGAAGAATGTAGGTATGAGGATATGTTGATATGGGTTGAAGGAGCGCGGCCAGGATTGCAACAGACAAAATTGACTAAATTGAAGGAGACAGAGTAGACAGAAAAGCAAGTGGAAGGGGGAAAGAAAAAGAAACAAGTATTTATTAAGCACCCACCATGTGCCAGGCACTATGCTAAACACTTTAAAAGTATTATCACATTTTATCTTCACAACAACCCTTTGAGATAGGTGCTATTATTATCCCCATTTTATAGATAAAGAAACTGAGGCAGACAAAGGTTAAGTAACTTGCCTAGGGTCATACAGCTAGCAGCTAGTCAGTGTCTGAGGCTGGATTTGAACTCGTCTTAGAACTCTATCTACTGCACTACCTAGCTGTAAGTTAAATAAATTTGTTATATTATTCATTCGTGTTAAAAGGATTATATACCTTGAATGATGAATTAATAAATGTAAGGTACTTTGCAAATATAAAATGTTACATAAATATTCACTGTTATTGTTAATAGTAATAATAATATTATTTTTGTAAGGTTTACCAGAGTGGCAGTTATGGACACCTGATAACAGTCTTTGATGCAGCCTTGATGCTGTAAGATTAGATTAATTAGGACCATTGCCTTTTTGAGAAACCATGTCTTTCACACAGTGATGCCCAGTAATGTCAAATATTGAGTCAATAATAAAGCAAAAATGGAGGTAAAAGCAAATGAGAGGGAGAACGATATGCAGTGATAGTACAAAGGCAGCTGAAATCAGGAGGTTGAAGAACACAGGCTGAGTTTTGGGACCCCTTCTACTGTCTTTAGTCAGTCATTCCCAAAGAGCAATGATGTCTGTGGCTTAGGCCAATAGTCTGATGGCTCCATTCTTTTCTGTGTTCTTTGGTCAAGTTTTTTTTT